CTATCCCTTCTGCCGCCCTTCTTCGCACCCTACCCCTTCTGTGGCCCTTCTTGGCACCCTCACCCTTCTGTGGCACTTCTTGGCACCCTAACCCTTCTGTGGCACTTCTTGTGGGGCTCTCAAATTAAATAGCCACGGTTATTTTTACATAAATGAACATAAAATTAATGAAGATTTACCTATCAAATATAGTGGGAACCACATTCCCACCCACAGTCTCACCAAAATTCCAACCAAATTCCCACCCAAATTCCCACTCACATTCCAACCAACATTCCCATCCACATTCCCACCATCATTCCCACCAACATTCACACACAAAGTCACATCCACAGTCTCACCCAGATTCTCACCCACAGTCTCATCCACAGTCTCACCCACATTCCCACCAACATTCTCCCCCACAGTCTCACCCACATTCCCACACACATTCGCACCCACATTCCCACCCACATTCTCAACCAAATTCCAACCAACATTCTCACCCACAGTCTCACTCACAGTCTCACCGACAGTCTCCCCACAGTCTCCCCCACATTCCCACCCACATTCCCAGCCGAATTCCCACCAACTTTCTCACCCACAGTCTCACTCACAGTCTCAGCCAAATTCCCAACCACATTCCCACCAAAACTCCTATCCACATTCACACCCACATTCCCACCCACATTCCCACCAACATTCCCACCAACATTCCCACCAACATTCCCACCCACAATCACATCCACAGTCTCACCCACAGTCTCACCCACAGTCTCACCCACAGTCTCACCCGCAGTCTCACCCGCAGTCTCACTCGCAGTCTCACTCACAGTCTCACCCACATTCCCACCCACATTCTCACCCACATTCCCACCCAAATTCTCACCCACATTCCCACCCACATTTCCACCCACAGTCTCACCCAAAGTCTTACCCACAGTATCACCCACAGTCTCAACCACAGTCTCACCGACAGTCTCATCCATATTCTCACTGCAGTTTTTAAGATTAGACAAACTAAGCAAAATTCAAAGTCACAATTTTATTTATGGTTGTTTTAAAACATTTTAAAACACACACACATAATGAAATTTCTTTTAAGCATTAATTATAGAGTTGATCCAGTCCTTTAACTCAATGACGTCAGAATACACACCAGGTCTTCCGGCCTCGGCACAGCCATAGCCCCAGCTTACAATACCTTAAAGAGAATGTTAGAAATGTAGGATATTTCTTATTTATTATTTGCATTATAATGTTTTTAAATATTTATGAACCAAGCCTTAAGTGGATATTAATTATTTACAAATGTTTAACAAAATATTTGTTGAAATTATACTAAACATTTTATCCACTAACAACATACAAACTGTATGTTGAACTTAAACTAAACCTTTTATCCACTTAAAACATACTAAGATAATTACAAACAGTAACCAACATTTTCAAAATTTATCTCAAAAGCAAAAAGAAATATTTTCTCCCTCTAATAACAAACCAAACTGAACACAATTCTCTCCTTATTTCTCTAATCACAAACCAAACTGCAAATTCTCTCCTTATTTCTCTAATTACAAACCAAACTGAACACAATTCTCTCCTTATTTCTCTAATCACAAACCAAACTGTAAATTCTCTCCATATTTCTCTAATTACAAACCAAACTGCAAATTCTCTCCTTATTTCTCTAATTACAAACCAAACTGAACACCATTCTCTCCTTATTTCTCTAATTACAAACCAAACTGAACACAATTCTCTCCTTATTTCTCTAATTACAAACCAAACTGAACACAATTCTCTCCTTATTTCTCTAATCACAAACCAAACTGCAAATTCTCTCCTTATTTCTCTAATTACAAACCAAACTGAACACCATTCTCTCCTTATTTCTCTAATTACAAACCAAACTGAACACAATTCTCTCCTTATTTCTCTAATTACAAACCAAACTGAACACAATTCTCTCCTTATTTCTCTAATTACAAACCAAACTGAACACAATTCTCTCCTTATTTCTCTAATTACAAACCAAACTGAACACAATTCTCTCCTTATTTCTCTAATTACAAACCAAACTGAACACAATTCTCTCCTTATTTCTCTAATCACAAACCAAACTGCAAATTCTCTCCTTATTTCTCTAATTACAAACCAAACTGAACACCATTCTCTCCTTATTTCTCTAATTACAAACCAAACTGAACACAATTCTCTCCTTATTTCTCTAATTACAAACCAAACTGAACACAATTCTCTCCTTATTTCTCTAATTACAAACCAAACTGAACACAATTCTCTCCTTATTTCTCTAATCACAAACCAAACTGAACATAATTCTCTCCTTATTTCTCTAATCACAAACCAAACTGCAAATTCTCTCCTTATTTCTCTAATTACAAACCAAACTGAACACCATTCTCTCCTTATTTCTCTAATTACAAACCAAACTGAACACAATTCTCTCCTTATTTCTCTAATTACAAACCAAACTGCAAATTCTCTCCTTATTTCTCTAATCACAAACCATTGCGAAATTTTAGTTTTAAATTAAGTGAAACAGAATATTTTTTGGAGATAGGTTTGCTAAAATACCAGTCAGTGTCCATCTATGTTCTCTGTATGTGTAGAGAGGTCCGCCACTATCTCCCTGGAAAATTACAATGACATAAAAGCGTTACGTAGCTATTTTGGGGATATTCAATGAAGCTAAATATAGGACTACTTAATAAAAATGCTACTCCCAAAACTAATTTTTAAAACTAATTAATCATTAATAATCCTTAATCTTATGATTTATCGCTTTATAGGTCTAAAAGGTATAAACGAAAATGGTTTTGATTTAAATACTTGACCGCTACTTTTAACAAGGTTAATATATTTCTGTAATGTTTGATTGATTGATTGCTTGGATATTTCTATAGCGCTTGTATCGATGCTACTTTAGCATGCTCACCGCGCTCTGGTTTTCTTAAATCTATTTAAACAAAAAAGTTTTTAATGTTTCTTAAATGATTTTTTATCATTTTCAATTCCCCTCAAAGATTGAGGCAAACTGTACCATAATTTTAGCGCTATCGCTTCAAAAGAGCGCACTCCTTAAAGACTTTTTCTATGTTCATCCCCACTAGGAACTCTCAGTAAGTAGTGTGTTGAAGACCGCAGGTTCTTCAAGGATAATTGTTTATAAATCAGTTCTTTAAGATATTCCGATGCCGAGCCTTCTATGCAGCTTTACGCCAGGACAGAATTTTGTAGTTAATGCGCTCACTCAGAGGAACCCAATGGAGATCTCGTAGAACTGGAGTGATGTGGTCAGACATTTTTATCCGCGATACAATGCGTGCTGAAGTATTTGACCGCTACATTTAACAAGGTTAATGTATGTCTCTTACTTGACCGCTACATTTAACAAGGTTAATGCATGTCTCTTATTTGACCGCTGTATTTAACCAGGTTAATGCACGTCTCTTACTTGGCATGAGTCCACACCTCCCTCAGGTAGGCCAGCACACAGCATGCGCAGCGTGATAGATCCAGAGCCATATCTTTGAATACATGTTTGCCTTGATTTGACGGGTTTCTGAACTTGATGGAGCGCATAAGGAGATGACCCACCTGAAGTCAGAACAACTTTCTTAAAATAATTTTTTTTATTAAAGCTCTATTTAGTAGATGATGCAACAAGATCAGCTATACTAAGCGGCTATTATTAACCGGCTTTTCTAACCGGGTATAGTAACCGTCGATACTAACCAGACGTTAAGGTGCCCCATCCAGCAACAATGGCGTTTTCCCCCTCATTCCATCCTTCATTTGGAAGACACACAGCAGAAATGTAATTGTTTGTTGGAAGAGACGTTGCTACTCTAAAAATCGATATGTCGTAATCTAATGTCCAACTGTCGTAAAGGCTGATAGAAACAAAAATAGTTGAAAATTCATTTGCATATTTCATTTTTTGGCTTCAAATTCCACACATGAAGCTTTTGTGTTATTATAGTTTTTTGGCAATGACAATGTAAAACATTAATATTGACCATGTCATATTTGTGAACAACCAAGTTGTCATGTCATATCTGTGAACAACCACGTCACCATGTCATACCTGTGAACAACCAAGTCACCATGTCATACCTGTGAACAACCAAGTCACCATGTCATACCTGTGAACAACCAAGTCACCATGTCATACCTGTGAACAACCAAATCTGAAAAGCTGACAATGACAAGAACAAAAACAATGACAAGAACAAAAAAAATGACAAGAACAAAAACAATGACAAGAACAAAAACAATGACAAGAACAAAAACAATGACAAGAACAATAACACTGACAAGAACAATAACACTGACAAGAACAATAACACTGACACGAACAATGACAAGAACAAAAACAATGACAAGAACAAAAACAATGACAAGAACAAAAACAATGACAAGAACAATAACACTGACAAGAACAATAACGCGGACACGAACAATGACAAGAACAAAAACACTGACAAGAACAATAACACTGACAAGAAAAATAACACTGACACGAACAATGACACTGACACGAACAATGACAAGAACAAAAACAATGACAAGAACAAAAACAATGACAAGAACAAAAACAATGACAAGAACAAAAACAATGACAAGAACAATAACACTGACAAGAACAATAACACTGACAAGAACAATAACACTGAAAAGAACAATAACACTGACACGAACAATAACACTGACACGAACAATGACAAGAACAAAAGCAATGACAAGAACAAAAACAATGACAAGAACAAAAACAATGACAAGAACAAAAACAATGACAAGAACAAAAACAATGACAAGAACAAAAACAATGACAAGAACAATAACACTGACAAGAACAATAACACTGACACGAACAATGACAAGAACAAAAACAATGACAAGAACAAAAACAATGACAAGAACAAAAACAATGACAAGAACAAAAACAATGACAAGAACAAAAACAATGACAAGAACAAAAACAATGACAAGAACAATAACACTGACACGAACAATGACAAGAACAAAAACAATGACAAGAACAAAAACAATGACAAGAACAAAAACAATGACAAGAACAAAAACAATGACAAGAACAATAACAATGAAAAGAACTAAAACAAAACTAATGACAAGGACAATAGAACTGACAAGAACAATAACAAGGACAATAACAATGACAAGGACAATAACAATGACAAGGACAATAACAATGACAAGGACAAAAACAGCCCACACCCCCTAGCTAGGTCACTGGGTGTAGGAGGGGGAGTAAAGCAAAGAGTCTTTCAAAAGTCGCCATAAGTCTTACAAAGGTCGCCATAAGTCTTACAAAAGACACAATAAGTCGTACAAAAGACGCCATAAGTCTTACAAAAGACGCCATAAGTCTTACAAAAGACGCCATAAGTCTTACAAAAGACGCCATAAGTCTTACAAAAGACGCCATAAGTCGTACAAAAGACGCCATAAGTCTTACAAAAGACGCGATAAGTCTTACAAAAGACGCCATAAGTCTTACAAAAGACGCCATAAGTCTTACAAAAGACGCCATAAGTCTTACAAAAGACGCCATAAGTCTTACAAAAGACGCCATAAGTCGTACAAAAGACGCCATAAGTCTTACAAAAGACGCGATAAGTCTTACAAAAGACGCCATAAGTCTTACAAAAGACGCCATAAGTCTTACAAAAGACGCCATAAGTCTTACAAAAGACGCCATAAGTCTTACAAAAGACGCCATAAGTCGTACAAAAGACGCCATAAGTCTTACAAAAGACGCCATAAGTCTTACAAAAGACGCCATAAGTTCATTATTTAGTCATGCAAATAAAGAAAGTGACAGTAGTTAGAAATTCCAAATAAACTTTTTAAGTTAATTCATTTGTTTGGAAATTCTTGCTGTCTCAAGTTTTCCTCAGATAAATCCCATATGAAGAAATGTTTGACGTAATTAGTACATATTTCCTGTCATCGTTTTTTTAAAATCCTTTTTAGATACAACAATTTTTTTTTTTAATCAGCTGTTTTAAATAGCTATACAAAATCTATAGACCTTTTCAGCAGTTGCGTAGCTAAGGTTAGGGTTAGGGTTAGGGTTAGGGTAGCTAAGGTTGGTGTCACCCGATGCGGTAAACACAGGGTGTCATCCCCCCCCCCCTTTTTTTTTTCTTCCCCGACTTTCACGATGAATTTCTTCTTCTTAAAATAAGTCCACAGTATAATAATGACAAGAATAATAACAACAATATCAAAAACAAGAACAATAACAATGACAAGAACAATAACAATGACAAGAACAATAACAATGACAAGAACAATAACACTGACAAGAACAATAACAATGACAAGAACAATAACAATGACAAGAACAAAAACAAATTGTAATGCCTTTAATAAACTGATAGTATTATTTGATGGAGTCAGAGTGGCAGTGCATTGGCCTAACATATAGTATAAGTTGCAGTAGCCAGAGGAGCTGGGAGAGACCATAATTGTCGTCTGACAATAAGAGTAAATAGTTCGTCAACCCTGAGATCTACAGCTTGTCATCAAGCATCTATTAATTGTTCTCATGCCATTCTCTTCTTTTAAACTTAATCTTCTCATTACCGAAATTCCATAATAGTCTGATTTTTAAAAGGGTCTTTTCAATAGCATGTTCCACCAAGTAACGGGGTTTCTCGTGCAGAAACAATCTTAAGGCTTCTAGGTTGGTCACCAGTATATCAAAAGTTAAGCCTTTATTTTGCAGATAATCTGTAAGAATTACTTCCCTAAGTAGATCAGCCCAAAGGTAGCAGATATACGTGAAATCAGAGACAGCATGAAAAAGACCTTGTGGTGTACCTCTTGTATCCACAATTTCAAGATTGTCACATACAGCTTCAATCGCCGCTACACATTCTTTAAACCTAACCTAACACTGTTTGAACAGCAGCATGATGAGCACTCCAACACGTTGTGGACAGTCTTTTTACCGACATTCCAGTGTGTTCAAATAAAACCTCCAAATAAGACAAATATTCTTTCAAAAGTACAGAAAACTGTAACACATGAAGCATTTTTGGCAAAAGAGTGTTGACCACACATATTAAGACAACGGCCCACAAAAGAGTGTTGAACACACATATTAAGAGAACGGCCCACAAAAGAGTGTTGACCACACATGTTAAGCAAATGGCCCACAAAAGAGTGTTGACCACACATATTAAGCAAATGGCCCACAAAAGAGTGTTGACCACACATGTTAAGCAAATGGCCCACAAAAGAGTGTTGACCACACATGTTAAGCAAACGGCCCACAAAAGAGTGTTGACCACACATATTAAGCAAATGGCCCACACATCCATTAAAAATCGCTTTCTTATTTTTTCTTTTCAGAAAAGCCTGAACACATTAATGGCCTACCACTTTTTTTGGCAGTTTCATCGCAACCTTGACCTGTGCACATCCTTATGGCTAGCCCCTAAACACATTAATGGACTACAGCATTTTGGCAGTCTTACCGTAACCTCGACCTCTGCAAATCGTTTGAGCGAGCCTATTACGTTTAAGATGTATACGAATGGCGAGCCTATTACGTTTAAGATGTATACGAATGGCGAGCCTATTACAATTAAGATGTATACGAATGGCGAGCCTATTACGTTTAAGATGTCTAAGAATGTCCAAAATGAGATCATCAGATTTTTTTTTTTTTTACCTCAAAAGGAAAAAATCCAAGAAACAACTTCCCTTTTGTCGATTTTCACAATTCTGATCTCTCTGACATCTGCCCAGTGTATATCACATATCTGTTATCTTCAGACATCTGCTCAGTGTGTGCTATATCAAGTGTGCTGTCACCTATCTGATCTCTTCAGACATCTGCCCAGTGTGTGTCACCTATCTGATCTCTTCAGACAACTGCTCAGTGTGTATCACCTATCTGATTTCTTCAGACATCTGCCCAGTGTGTGTCACCTATCTGATCTCTTCAGACAACTGCCCAGTGTGTGTCACCTATCTGATCTCTTCCGACAACTGCCCAGTGTGTGTCACCTATCTGATCTCTCCAGACAACTGCCCAGTGTGTGTCACCTATCTGATCTCGTCAGACGACTGCCCAGTGTGTGTCACATATCTGATCTCTTCAGACAACTGCCCAGTGTGGGTCACCTATCTGATCTCTTCAGACAACTGCCCAGTGTGTGTCACATATCTGATCTCTTCAGACAACTGCCAGTGTGTGTCACCTATCTGATCTCTTCAGACAACTGCCCAGTGTGTGTCACCTATCTGATCTCTTCAGACAACTGCCCAGTGTGTGTCACCTATCTGATCTCTTCAGACATCTGCCCAGTGTGTGTCACCTATCTGATCTCTTTAGACAACTGCCCAGTGTGTGTCACCTATCTGATCTCTTCAGACAACTGCCCAGTGTGTGTCACCTATCTGATCTCTTCAGACAACTGCCCTGTGTGTCACCTATCTGATCTCTTCAGACAACTGCCCAGTGTGTGTCACCTATCTGATCTCTTCAGACAACTGCCCAGTGTGTGTCACATATCTGATCTCTTCAGACAACTGCCCAGTGTGTGTCACCTATCTGATCTCTTCAGACAACTGCCCAGTGTGTGTCACCTATCTGATCTCTTCAGACAACTGCCCAGTGTGTGTCACCTATCTGATCTCTTCAGACAACTGCCCAGTGTGTGTCACATATCTGATCTCTTCAGACAAATGCCCAGTGTGTGTCACATATCTGCTTTCTTCAGACAACTGCCCAGTGTGTTATATTAGGTGCAATACCGAACATATAAGAACCCTTCACATGATTTGCAAGAACATTTCTGAATTCATTGTGCGTTTCTGGTGGAAGGTAAGATGCAGATGCATCCAATACTACAT